GACAGGTGTGTGCTGACTCCAGTTTAACATGAGTTTGAATGTAACTGGTTAAATCTGAACACAACCACATCCCCAGTTATAAAAGGGTGTGCACACTTATGCAACCACATTATCTCACTTGTTTGTTTTTACTTTACCTCCCTGAAAGATTTCTGTTTGTTTTTCAGTCGTGTTTTACAGGTTACAAGTCACAAGTTACATGACAAAAACCTGGCATTTGAACAGGGGTGTGTAGACTTTTTATATCCACTGTATATGTATACAGTTGAAACCAGAAATTTACGCAGAGGCCTAAATCATCTAAGATGTCGCTTGCCCAGTGATGCATCAACAGAGCTTCATCAGGAACATAGATCATTTTCCTGTCCTTTCTTATGGGCTAAGGACAGAGGATAAACATTTAGAAAGAGTGGCGTCACCCTGTTGTGCATGATAAACTCTGCCTGAGTGGCCTGCAGTGTTACACACTCTGCAGTAGAGAAATGGCCCAGCATCAGCAGCTTGGATCCCAGACTGACCTTTGGGCTCAGTCATGACAGCATCTGGAAACCGCTCTGTAACCAGAAAAGTGTCAGACAAGTCAAGATCATGTAGTATATTACAGTTCTTTGACTGGGAACTTGTAACAACATAAGCAGTAAAGATGTCATGAAGTGCTTGTGCTGTGTTGTTAGACCCAGAGCTTGATACGAGGCAGCCGAACATCTCAGGAACTGGAAAAAAAAAAAAGTACCCTCAACAAGGTTAATATCCAAGATAAAGGCAAGATCTTTAATGGGCAAGGCAAGTCAGACAGCAAATTTAAGAAACCAGCTGACCAAAGGAGACTGAACATAAATGTTGAGCCAAGAGGCAGGTACAATACTCATCTCAACACCCTGAACAACTGCTCTTTATGGCATGAGGATTTGAAGTCATGGACAGACTTGTTTAACATTCAAAGTGGTTCTTATGTGCACCAAAAACTTTTCCGTTTTAATAGCAATGACAAACTCACATATCCAAGATATCAAGTTTATCATTTTATTTCCCTCCAATCCTATACTGTTGATGTGCAGTTCTTTTTGACAGTCAAGAGGCTCGGTGTACGATAATGTGTGCAAGTGCAGTTATGTATGCTCATGTCCACCTGCAGATGTGGCAGATGAGGACAGTGTGTCAGCTGCAGTCCAGGCTGTCAGCAAGAAGATCGCAGCCGGTGGGTTGAACCTTCTCATCAACAATGCTGCTGTCAACAAACCAGCCTCACCAGCACCGCTATCTGCCACCAGTAAAAAGGACATGATGGAGGTGTATGAAACCAACGTGGCCGGACCATTTGTCCTTGCAAAGGTTGCTTTGTCTTATTCTTGTCTGTGCTTATAATGTGTTATATAGTGAGCATGTTGTGATGGTGAAAAACATTAACTGTCCATCTCTTGCAATGTCTTACCACAAGACTGACAGTCAAATAAGGGAAACACATATTTCGTTGTCATCAAGTGTCTACATCCCTGCTGAAGTGTTACAGCAACAAATAGCTGAGGGCTGTACTACCAAGGAGCTAGCCTGGTTGGAAGCAGAGTTTTGGATTTAAATCGGCTGGAGGAAGTGTCTCCCTTTAACCAAATCATTTCCTGACGTTTCTTTATGAGCGATACAGATTCTCAGCTGAAGGAATGTGTTTTATTTGCAAACCTGTTGAGCTGTTTGTTATTAATATTACTGAAGGAATCCGTTTAGTTACAGTATCGCACACTGTATGCATCTTCTTGTCGTGGGAATCCGACATGTATTTAGTTGGCGATGCAGAAATCCCATAAATATGTTTTTATATTTGGTCTGTTCACACTACGCGCACTACATACAGATTAGAACACTGATTATTCTACTGGTATTTATTACAGTGAATATTCAAGCAATAACATTAATTTCGCTTTGATTTGGCCAAAAATGAAAGTATTATCCTGCATTATGGGACCTAAATGCACTTCAATACAAGATGTTTAAATATATGAAGTTTAAAGTTTACCAACTCTAATGTGCAGCTCTCATTTAGAAATTAACAGCTGTGTTGATCAGTAAAATAAATACATTAACACATTATTAACAGTTTTCTACCAGCATTTCTGTTTTGCATCATTTGCAGTAGCAGCACTTTTTACCGTCATACATCTTTATATTCTTCATTGTTCTCCATTCAAACAATCTCCTGACTGAAGCATCTCACTTGGCACCATAGATGAATCCCATTTTATGTGAACGTTCAGAGTCTGAGTTAACAAAGAAAGTTGATAACATCCTTCATGATACCTATTGTGTCTGACTGGAGCTTTAGTTTTTCTCCAGCCAATTTACACAAAGAAAGCCAGAGGATGTCAAACTT